GGACGGAGTTGGGGTGGCGGGGTTGGTGGGTGGGGCAGGGGATGGGGGGTGGAGTCATAGGTCCCCACCAATGTCCAGAGCAAATCTACGCCCTTGATTTGTGCTAATGTTATTATTATTATTGTTGTTGCTGTTATTATACCTGTGGTTCAGTCACTTATACTCGTGCAGAATATGCTTGCAAATATTTTAAAAGCAAATTATCAAAAGTATAGGCCTAAATTTTTATATTAACACAATAAAGTAATACTAAACAATAAAACAAACCGATAAATAAAACACTTTTAAATTCAAATGCCTTCGAATTTATTTATATACGTGTTTTTTCTGCAGAAATGTGGGTTAAAGACTCCGGTTGCTGAATTAGTCTATTGATATACGCTCTCAGCAACTCCCCGAGAGCCCGTTCGATGAACGAATCGAAGTTACGGGTTTTCGGACACTCGGTGAATCAAAAGAACCTGTTTAATGAACGAATCGAACTTACGGGTTTTCGGACACTCAGTAGGTGAATCGAACGAACGGTTCACGAACCGATCCCAAGAGTCCAGTTACGCTGTTAACAGGACTAAAATAAAAGCAGCTCTTCATCATTCATCACAACAGTAAATTATTGTATTTCTGTATACTAAAATTATATGTCTTTCATCAAAGAACAAACTAAGATATTTATTAACTTTGACGTTTACACAACAACATATGCAAGTTTACTTATGCTCATTGTATGGGTATGTGTGATGCTATTGGTAATATTGCAGTTGTTGTTAACTGTGATGTAGTCCTTGATACTCATGCACATGAATTTGGCTTAAGTAAAGAAAATAAGAACTATATATACACATATATTATTCAGCATCGACACCCTTTCTGCTTTTTATATATTGCTTTTTTATTGTGAATAGTCAAGCTGAACATTTTTGTTGAACACCAGCGCTGTCTTTGTCAAACAAAGTAACCTTGAGACAGATTTTTTATCCAATCCCACAATTCGTTTAGTCATATTATCAGGCGCAAAAAAAGACGGAAAAAAATTAATCATAGAATCGGTTTTAGAATCGATTCATTACAATGGACAGTTCGAAAGAATCGAATCAGTTAATTGAGCCGAACTTCCCATCACTAGCAGACACACTTGTGGTAGGCCTATAGATCTGTTCCCACATGTCGGACGTTCTTTGAGACAACGCTTAACTAAGCGAGACAGCCTGGTCCGGAGCAGAGTTGTTCCCATTTATAAATTACCATGGTAACTCAGCGGGGATTGTCGAAATAAGTCAGACTTTCCCTTAATCCTGCTTCGTGGAATACCCCCCTGGACACAGAGCATGGCCATCAGGCTGCCTGTCTACAGTGAATTATCCACTTGACGTACCGCTGAACTTTGGGCTCATTCTCACAGCTCCTGGGCTGTGTTGGACTAAAAATCTGATAAGCAAGGTATGTTATAATAAAGAAAAAGGTGGATCCTTTTGGAACATTAGAGTGCCAAAATATCAAAACATTACAGTTTAATTTACTGATGTCTTAAATGTGTACACACAGCATATAGGTAAATATGATATACTTTTTTTTTAAGCCATCCACTCACGGATAATGCATATTTATGTTTGGTGATCACAAAGCACAAAATATGTCACTGATGCAGGATAATGAGTGTGTTAGCTTAGCATTAGTCCCTATCAAGGTGGAGCACAATGGTCCTGTTATGTGTCATTTTCATGTAGAGTGCTGGGCGTGTACTGCTGCTGGACCTCATCAAGTCCTCTGAATGAATGAGTGGACAGCTGCCAATGGCACCACAGTGGAGGCTCTGCAGGCCTCCCCTGACAATGATTTCCCCCTCGTTGAGAGCACACATTTCTTTGGTAAGGTGCTAGACATCTATTTACTGGCATGTTGTCCATTTGGATTCATTTCACTTGGGATGAGCCACTGAAAATTTGTGGTAGGGTCATTAAGCACTTTGTTTTATCTTTGGAGGTGAGTCAAATTTATATGGGTTTTAAACTGTTGCTTGCTGTGGCTTCCCCCCCTCCTTGCCTTCGCTGGTGCCCCCTCTGACTCCCTCCTCGTCTCCTTTGTCTGTTCCTCGGCTTGTCTCCTTGCCCTATTTGTGGTCCCCTCCTGCTCCTGCCTCCCTGTCGCCTGCGGCCCCTCTGGCCGCTGCCCGTCACCCACCTTGGCTCCCTCGGGCTCCCCTTTGTCCCCCGTCCATTCCTGTTTGGCCTCCTCTGTTTGCTTCTCGTCCCTGTGTCCCGCCTGTCTCTGCTCCTCATCCCCCTGTCGTGCCTCCGTTCTCTCCTGGTCCTTGTGTTCCTCCGCTCGCTGTGCTGTCTCGCCCTTTCTTGTGTGCCTGTCCGCGTTCCCTGTCTTGCGTCAGGTGTTGTC